GGCTGTCAGTGACAAAGAGAACAAATAATTGTCGAGGGTAGATACTGTGTTTCAATATCATTATGTTACGCAGTTACTATAATTATATTTCTATACTTCATCCCAATAATATGAAAGTAGGTATTAATCATTTTCTTTATTTTATAGCCTTGGAAAGGTTAAGATAACTTATCCAGTGAAGCTGGTAAATTGCAGAGTCTGAATTTGAACCCATGTCAGTCTGACTCTAAAACTCCTTTTCTTATAATACTAAGAGGGGTTTACCATTTCTTGCAAAGAAAAAGGAAACAACTGGCATTATAAAGACACAACTTTTAGTATTTGATGAAAAGTTTGCAGAATTTGATTAATTGTCTGTGGATATTTATACTTTCATTTTTACCCATATCTCATAATCTTAATTCCATGTAGATATTTGATATAGTAGTTTGTGTTAATATCAATATCCCTAAAGTCCCTTCCTCAAAAGAAGTGATGACTTGAAGAAAGGCTTTTAGTCCTTCATTCTTCTGATTTTATTAAACTTATGTTTGCTTGCAAGATGGTTTACCCTTCGATAACAGTTTAGGAGGAAATCTTGTGTAGAATGGTTCTATAGCAGAAGTTTGGAGAAATATCAGGGAAACCACCTTAGACATTTTTACCTTCCTCTTAGCTGGTTAATGTTGAGATAAAAAATAGATGACATAGACATAAATTTCATTGGAAAGGAAAATCTGATCAGGTGTTTGAGTACTTGGAAAGTAAAGAAAGGCAGAAAAGGCAGAAGGAAAGGCAGCAAAGAAGTTTCTCACTTAGGAAACAGTAGTTTGAAAGGTAGAACCTAGCTCAGGTAGACTTCATGGGGACAAAATTGAACTGATTTTCTTTGGAAAGGTTGTGAACTGTGATTATTTTATTTTGCATTATACAAACATACAAAAAGTTCACTAGTATCTATAATTTTTACCTAATGGATAAGTACGGTAAATTTTTCAAAGCAGAGTATAAGAAAGAAGGCAAATTGAGAAAAAGTTTGTTGAGTAGGAAGTAAAAAATTACAGAAATATGATCGAACTGACAATTCAAATAAATAACATTTACAATACAATGAAAATGACATGTACCTCAGAATTTAATTTGAAAAAAATTACTGAAAAAATTTTCATGCAGAAAGTACAACTTATGATATAAGCAATAACTCAATCCATAGAGGCATATAAAAAGTTATAATGTTCTTCTGATCATACTTATGCAGTGTCCCTGTTTGTTTTAATTGGTTTTAAAATACAGATTGAAAGAACATGAGGGGAAGGAAAATATATTACTTTCTAATGTTGCCTTACCATAGGTTTCTTAGTCTAAACACTAGAGTATTGCCTTTCCTATTACCAATATGAGAAGTGGCTGCTATAGCAAAGATAGTGGCATTTTTAAAAACACAAATGCTATGTGTTAAAATATTTATATATTTTTTACGGCAAAGAATTCACAACTTAAAAGAGTTTCTATACATGGTTAATAGGTCAATTTTTGGTTTGAGTTTTAAGTTATATATTTTGCTATTCTTTGTTTGGAGGGTATTTTGAGAACATAGGTTAATTTCAGTAAAGTAAGATAAAGCCTAGGAATTCAGGAAAACTGGTAGTAATGTAGATATATCCTTTATATTGGAGCTGATGATAGTGTTTAAAATATGTTCTGCCTTTAACTTTATTGCTTTCCTTTGAGGATTTTTAAAAACAACTTTATTGAGATATAAATTATATGATGAACTGCATATATATAAATATATATGTATATATATATATATATATATATATAGAGAGAGAGAGAGAGAGAGAGAGAGAGAGTATACAGTTTGGTTAAGTTTTGAGACTGCATATTCTTATGAAACTATTATTCCAAAGAATCTCCCGGTACTCTCCATCTTTCCTCTTCCCACACCACCATCCGCCACTTGCAGAAATCACCTAGCTGCTCTCTTTTAATTATGTACAAGTTTGCGTTTTTAAAGTCTTATACAAATTGGATCATATAGTATGCACTCTTTCTTTTCAGGGAGAGTTCTGACTTTTTTCACTCGATGTAATTATTTTGAGCTTCAGCCATATTGGTACATATATTAATAGGTTGTTCCTTTTTATTGATTGATAGATATAAGACAGTTTGTTTCTCCATTCTACTGTTGGCATGTTTAGATTGTTTCCAGTTTTTGACTATGACAATGCTCCTCTGAACATTCATGTACATATGCTTTTCCCTTGGATAACTACTTAGGAGAGCAAGATTACTTGGTACCTGTATAATTAAATAATAAGAAAATACTGAACTGTTTTCCAAAGTGGTTGTATCATTTCACATTTCTACCAGCAGAGTGTGAGAGCTCCAGTTCCCCATATCCTTAGAAGAATATGATCATCTGTTTAATTTTGACTGGATTTGTAGTGATATATCATTGTGGCTTTGATTTGCCTTTCCCTTAATGACTACTGATTTTGAGTATCTCTTCAAGTGCTTATTTGCCATCTGCATATCTTTTTGTAAAGTGCTTAGAATGTGTAGCGATGTTACCTGTCTATTGACAATTTGTGTCTCTATTTTCCTGATCAGCCAGGCTAAAGGTGTATAGTTTTTATTGAATTTCTTGAAAAGCTGCTTTTGTTTTCACTGAAGTTTTTTATTGTTATTATTTTATATAGGGTCTTGCTATGTTGTCCAGGCTGGTCTTGAATTCATGGAGTCAAATGATCCTCTTGCTTCAGCCTTCTGAGATGCTGAAACTACAGATGTTTCCTACCATGCCTGGCAATTTTCTAGTTCATGTATTTCCACTTTGATTTTTTATTAATTCTTGTATTCTGCTTATACTGGTTTAATTTGTTCTTCTTTTTCTCCTTTCTTGGGTATAAGCTGAGATTTTTCTTTTTTTTTATATGTGCTCATCTGAAGTAAAGCTTTTGTGGCATTCCACACATTCTAACATACTGCATTTATATTTGCGTTCAGTTCAAAATACTTTGTAATTTCATTTTGATTCTCTTTTGACCTGTTCGTTACTTTATAGGAATGTTATTCAATTTTCAAATAGTTGAGGATTTTCTGAAGACACTTTTTAATGATTTAATGAAGTTTTACATATTATTGCCAATTTTCTGTTTATTCTCTCAGGTATAGAGAAAGATGTGAAAATATATGATTTTAATTGTGGATTTGTCTATTTCTCATTGCACATCTGTCAGGTTTTGCTTCGTTTTGAAGCTCTATTATTAGTTACATAGACATTTAGGGTTTCATATATACTTTTGGTGAATTACTCTTTTTTCTTATGAAATGACCCTGTTTTTCCTTATTAATATTTTTTGGCTATGTACTGTAATTTATCTAATATAATAGTAGACATTTCAATTGTATTTTGTCAGTCAACATGCTGTATCTTTTTTCTGTTCTTTTATGTGTAACATGTTTATGTCTTTATAGTTACAGAATTTTTTTTATAGTTGACTTTTCCTTTTTTTATCCATCTGAAAATTCCTGCCCTTTAATTTAGGTATTTGGACCATTTATATGTAATGTTATTACTGATACACAGGTGGAGTCTTTCTTATCCAAAATGTTTTGGACCAGAAGTGTTTTGAGTTTTGAATATTTTCAGGTTTTGGAGTAATTGCATATACATAAGATACCTTGGGGATGGGACCTAAGTGTTATGATATATATTTTATGTTCATAACCCGAAAGTAATTTTATATGTTTTTAGTATGCTTGCATTTCAAGTGCAAGCTGTCATATGAGATCAAATTTGAAATTTTCCACTTCTAGCATCATGTCAGTGCTCAGAAAGTTTCAGATTTTGGAGCATTTCAGATTTCAGATTTTTTGATTAGGAATACTCAAGTTGTAATTAAGTTCAAATCTGTAATTTTGCTATTTTGGATACTAATACTAGGTATCACATATTTTTATCATGTATGGTGCTGGCATTTTTGGAATTTCTATAAATGTTTTTGCACTGGTTCTGGGGACATAATTAATTGGAAACCATTTGATCTTTTTGACTCTTGCTTTTAACATTTGTTAGGTGGACCTAGAGCAGCATTTAGTCTAGGGCTTATTATTTCCCACTATTGAAGCAACACCCTGGATACTCTACTCAGTACTTTTTGAATTATGGGGTTTCATAGCCTGGCTGATGGAACCGGGCACTATTCCCAGGAGTGCTGAATACTGTTCCTCTAATCCTTTGGAATAGTTCTTTCCCTGACTATAGTTGCTTTCTTCCTGAATACTCAAGGGGAATCCTTTGGGATTCTCTCACTCTGATACTCTGTTCAATGAGCTGTAACTGCCTTGGAATTCTTGAAGTCCTAGCTATTTCTCTTTTATTCAGAAATCCTTCAAGCTCTGCCTGAGTTCAGAACCTCTATGTTCTGTGGCCTTAAATCCTTTTTAGGGCAGTAAGCTGGGGGAGTGTGACCTTGCCTGGAAATTTCTCTTTTCTTTTGTGAGGCTTCTGTAGTATAGGCCAGATATTCTTCGTTTTAAGTTAATGTGTCTGATTAATTCTGGGCTGACTTTGCAAAAGGACACGTGATCATTGCTTTTATTCTTTGAATGTGGCTAAACATATCTTCAGATTATAGTTTCTTAGATTATCACTTTGAGAAGAGATACCCAAGATACATAGAATTGTGGCCTGATTCTGGTGTTTTTGCTTTAGAATGAGGATGGAATAATTAAATGATAAAGAATAGTTGATTTTTATATTATTTATCTCCTTGTTCCTGGGACTTGGTCAGTTATTATTATAATTGCCATAGGTCATAATGGCTCTGTAATAGAACCTTGAAGTATTGATGGATTTATGGTAGAACATGGAGTCCAATTTTTACATATGAGAATCTTGATCTCTTTTTGGTGCTGAATGTTTTATTGAGGTCATTTAAGATGAAATTTGAGCCTTGATGTTGTTACTTGCACCTGTATTTCACATGCTCTTGATCTTTCCTGTTCCAACTTAGTCCAGAGGATGAGTCCATCCATGTCCTGAGTGTTGATGAGAAGAACAAGTTGGGAGCCAAGATTATTAAGGCAGAGATGATGGGGAATATGGTAAGGCTCTTTATATGTTGTTCTTTTGGAGAATAATGATTAAATATTTAACTTCTTATAAGTAATTTTGGAAGTACCTCAATAGTGTGGATATGGCACACTTTGAAAATAATTGCCATTTGTTAATACTTTAAATGTTTGAGTATTTCTTTAAATGTTAGAATAATGTCTTCTAAATAAATATCTCCTTTGTCAGATTTTTGAAATTTATGATCCAAGAGAATTACATGCTTTAATTTTTATTGTTTCTGTTGACTTTTTCTGTGTTAATTTATGGAACATATTTGAAGGAATTAAAGATGTTCCTGTTTGACATTTTTAGTTATTTATTAATGCTTCTTACTTTCTGAAAATAATTTACTTAACAACCTAAAAATGAGCTCTTAAGAAAATATGATTGATTCATTTATTCAACCATTTAAGATGATGTTTGTGCTTGATACTGTATTAGACATTATATTTGGATTCATACATTCAATTCTTATAATAATGTTTAAGACTGATTTACCTCAGATTGAATAGAAATAGGGATGATTGGTTAAGTGCTACTTTTATTTATTTATTCATTCATTATATTTTTATATGCCTGTTATACTGTCATGTTGAATTGCTCATGATAGTAAAAGCTAGATAGCTTTCCATGCTATGATACCATAGAGCCACTTATGGTCATATTTATGTATAGTTAACTCAAACTGAGCGATCTTTCATTAAACTTATGTTTTTGTATGCTATCAGTATAGTACTCTTTAGTAGAACAAAAGGTAGCCAATAAGATATTTCTGTTTTTATTAGTTTTTATGTCTATTAGATTAGTAGCAGGCATGTCTTGCATATGCTGCTCTATATGAATCTGGTCCTTGGTAACACTTTAGCTCAGATCAGAAATTGCTGAGAGAGATAAACCAAGAGCAACACCACCAATTGCAAGAAAGTAAGGTTAAGAGGTAAACCAGCAACAATAGCAATAGCAAGAAAATAAAGCTTGAGTTTTGGAAGCATAAAAGAATTAGTTAAAATAGTACAAGAGAGGTCACCTAGTAGGAAACTCTTAGATTAAAAAATGTGTTCATGGAGCCATTGTAGTGGAACATGCTATGCTATATCATATAAATTTATTTATTTTATTACTTTGTGGTTTATTGCTTTTTAAATTTTCCCTCAGTTTTTTTGAAACAAGGTTTCGCAATGTAGCCCACACTGGCCTTGAACTCATTATGTAGTGCCTAGGCAGCCCTCGAATTCATGATGATTCTCCTGCCTCAACTTTCCAAGTGTTGGGATTACAGGCATATGCCTCCATGCCTAGTTTGTTTATTGCTTTATATGTCATTTGTTCTATATGAATTCCTATAGATTTTCTAGAGTCAAAATGAAATATACTCAAAATTTTTTTCTAAATTACTTATCAACAATAAAGAAAATCATATGTTAAATCTTGTGATGGCTTCCTTCTCACAAATAATTGAAATTTTAAGTATTGGGTGTTTACACTATATAAGAATTATAAAAATATTCTTGAGGTTATGTTTCCTCCATCTCCTTGTCTTCCTCAAAATATATGACCTTGAAATGATTTACCTTCAGATGCCACAGATATTTGAAGTGTTTGTAACTGAGATTAATTTCATTAAAACATAATATGTACTGAGCTCTGTGTTGGTGATTGAAGTTAGTTGATGGTGATATGGTTTTTTTGTTATACTGTTTTCTTTTTATTGTGTGAATTTATAATATTCTGTAATGGAGAATTAAATAGCACGTCACACTTACTTTTCTATTTGAAGGAACTGGCTGTAAAACTTAAAGCCCAACTTGAAAAGGCTAATAAATTAAAAGAAACTGTAACACAGATATCATCAAAAACAACAGGAGCAGAAGAGGTATGTAATAAATGTTTAATGCAGGCATATAATTACCTTGTGTAATAGTATTACTTTGCAGTGGCAATATTTTAATGTGAGTAGTGTCTGTGTCTGTGTTTGTGTTCTGTTAGTGAACAAAACATAAAATCATTTGCCTGCATGGAACTTTCATTTGAGTAGGGATGAAAAACAATAAAGGGAGAAAATAACTAAATAAATGATACAGTATATTAAAAAGTTATATATTCCATGGGAGCGTATTGGGGATCTTGAGTATTTTGGGGTCCACAGCTAATTCTCACCGGAAAAAGTGACATTGCTGCAAAGACTTAAAGTAAGTGAAGGAGTGCAACTCTGGGTATCTGAGTGAAGAGTGTTCTAGGCATAGGGAATAAAGAATTTAAAGGCTCAAAGATGGGAATTTGATGTATAGAAAGAAGAGCATGACCAGTGCTGCTGACATGGAATGAATGAGAGAGAGAAAGGAAAGCCTTAGGGTTAGAGACTACTAGGGCCCAGATCATGTTAAACTTTAGAAGTCATCAAAGAAAAAGGGCAGAAGCTGGAGTTTTGTAGGTTTTTAAGATAATGTAGATGGTGAGTTTGACCAAGATAGTAGCTAGGGAGATGGTTAGGAAAGATTACGTTTTGTACATGTATAAATATTTTCTATATATATTTTGAAGGGGGAGCTGACCTGATTTTTATGGTGGGTTAGATGAGGGTGGTGGATGATGGGTAACGAGATTAAGAGAGGTGGTAGAGAGGACTTCAGGGTCTTTAGCTTGAGTAGCTAAAAGTGTAGCATGGCCATATTGATTTGTGAAAGAAAGGAAGTGTGGTTTTGAGGTGAAGATAGAAGTCTGTTCTGGATGTATTGAATTTGAGTGTTTTTTAGATGAACCTAGGCTGGAGATAAAAATTTGGGAGTTATAAGCATATGGATGGTATTTAAATTTATGATAGTGTATAAAGTCGTCATGAGCATATATGTAGATAGAAGTTGAAGGACTGAGTTGGATGCAGTACAGTATTGAGAGGTTAGATAAATGAACACATTCACTTGTCACCCTTTAAAAAGTCATTATCACAGTTTTGTAGGTCAGGAGACTGAAGCTGGCACAGAGAGTTAAGTAACTTGTCCAGATATAAAGCTAGTAAATATTTAAACTCATGAAATACTTATGTTTCCATGTTGCCTCTTTGGTGCAAAAAGATAGTCAATGGCCAGTTTTGAGAATCAGGTTTGAGATAAAATCAGATTTATAACTGAATTTAAAGGACTTCTTAAAGATTAATTTATGTAACTTGCTGTCAGCATGAAATTGAGTTCCATAGTTTTCTTCAGGCTGAGATCATTAGTGACCTAGATAATAATATAATTAGTATGTTTATGAAATTAGCTTTTTAAACTTAAGTTGGGATAACTAAAGTTTTTAAAAAGTGAATAATTAAAAATTTCTTGTACAGATGAAATTGACAATGAGAAATTACAAGCAGTTTAAAAAGTAAGGGAGTAGCCAGGTGTGATGGCGCACACCTGTAATCCCAACATTCTGGGAGGTTGAGGCAGGAGAATCACAAGTTCAAGCCCAGTCTGGTCAATTATTGACTTGGTGAGACCTTTTCTCTGAAATAATGAAAGGGCTGGGAATGTGGCTTAGTGCAGATGTAGCTCAGGCCCTGGCCTCTATTCCCAGCATCACTTAAAAAAAAAGGTAGGGGCACAAGTAAAGGAAGATGTTTAAAAGTAGGTATACTCTTCAGTCTGTCTTCCACACTTTCTGCCCAATTAATTTTTGTAGCAGTGCTTGGCCCTTGAGTTCATAATAATTTTATACTTTGTCTTTTTTTTTTTTTTTTTTTGGTACCGGGGATCGAACTCGGGTCCTTAGCTTGAGAGTTAGGCGGTGGAACCACTGAGCTAAATCCCCAGCCCAATTTTATACTTTGAAACTTTCTTTGGTTTCATAGGGCTAACTATATTAAATACCAGACCTTCCTGAAGGATAGCACTCCATGGTATAGCTGCATTTTCCAGCACTACCTTGAAAGCTATTTTACTCATAACCTACATGTCTCTTTTGACATTTACTATTTGTGACAGATATTACCCTAATGAGGCTTATCCATTTCTCAGTGTTTGTCTTTACTTTCTTTGTGAAGCCTTTTTATCCAGTCTTAATAGTTGCAACTTTTCCCTCTTTTGAAACTTCTTTTGAAATACTTTAAAAAATTTTTTTGAGGAGCTAAGTTTGAACCCAGTTCCTCATGCATTCTAGGCAAGTGCTTTACCATGGAACTAAACCCCCAGTTCCCCCTTTTGTTTTTCATTTCATTTCACTTTTCTTTTCTTTTTTTTCTTTTCATTTTTTTCCTTTTCCTGTTCTTTCTTCTTCCCTCCTCCTTCTCCCCCTCTTCTGCTCCTCCCACTCTCCTCCTCCTTCCCTCTCCCTTTCCTTCTTCTTTTTCTTTTTTGTGGTGCTAGAGATGAACCCAGGGTCTCCCACATGCTAGATAAGCACTCCTGTTACAGAGCTACATCCACAGCCCTGAAGACTGTTTTTTTAAAGAACAATTTTACGTTCACAGCAAAATTGAGCTTGAAGGTATTTCAGCTCAATAGTGATTTCCCATATACCCTTGCTTCTCCATGTGAATATTCTTTCCCCTTATCAACACCTCCCCCCAGAGGTACATTTGTTACATTTGACAAACTTTGACACATAATAGTGACCCAAAGTCTACAGCTTACATTAGTGTCTTCTCTTTTGTTTTGTTTTTTTTGATACCGGGGTTTGAACTCAGGACCTTGCACTTGCGAGGCAGGCAGCGGAATCACTGAGCTAAATCCCCAGCCCATTAGTGTCTTCTCTTGCTGTTATACATTCTGTAAGTTTGGACGAATGTGTATTGACATGTATGCACCACTATAATATCATATAGAGTGTTTTTACTGCCTTAAAAACTCTCTCTCTTCATTCCATCCTACCCCTTAAATTCTGACAGCCACTGATCTTTTTATCATCTCCATAGTTTTGACTTTTCCAGAGTGTCATGATTGGAGTCAGTGTTACAGTAGGTAGCCTTTTCAGATTGGCTTCTTTCACTTAGTGATGTGCATTTAAGGTTATTTCATGTCTTTTCATGGTTTGATACACTCATTTTTTTTTAGTTCTGAATAATATTCTATAGTCTGTAAGTGCCGCAGGTTTTTTTTTTGTCCCATTCATCTACTGAAGGACAACTCATTAGTACTGACTGAACTGCTGTTGTACAGTGAAAGCAGCCATAGATGCTACATAAATGAATAGATGTGGCTATTGCTAATAAAACCTTGTGGACACTAGAATTAGAATTGTAAAATATTTTGTCACAAAATATTCTTTTGATTTCACTCCAAAATGTAAACACACATGGGCTAAATAAAAACAAATAGCCGGTTGCATTTGGCCTGTGGGCCACAACTTGCTAACTCTGATGTAGATTCTTAAACAAACCCCATATTCTGTATTAATGTGATAGTTTATTGGAAACTCAATATTTTTGATCTCCTTGATATTTCTGTATTGTGTACTCAAATACAAAAACAGTATAATTTGTATTGGCAGGCTTGAGGAACAGAAAGAAAAGTGAGTAGATGAAGAAAATAGAGTAGTACGTTGGTTCATGAACTTGATTCTTTCCACAATTCTGGTTGCAAATCGAGTTGGACAAGCACTGAATCAAATTCAATGGTTATGTTCAATGTTGACCTTATAGGGAAATTGAATTTGGTTCTCATCCAGTTTGGTTTGCAACCAGAATCGTAGAAATTGAGTTCATGAACAGAGGCACCACTGTAAAGGGGAAAGTGGGTTAGCCTTGAGAGTATAATTAATCTCTATGAAGCACTGGTTTGTTAATTTCACTTATTAAGCATTTATTGAGTACCTGTTGTTGTTTGATGCTGTCGTGGCCCTCATACACATAGTGGTGTACAGCCTGGTCTTTGTCCTTGGAAGGTGAGAAAAGTGATTAAGTTTAAATATCTGTTGGGTTCAGTGGAAATTTAGAATGACGAGACCCTGAGGTGTATTTTGCTAGTAAATACATTTCTTTATTATTGTAAAAGCAACAGTGCACTTGTGAGAGAAAATTATTTAATTTCTCATAAATGTTGTAAATACTAATAGGGAAAGTACATCTCTGCATAGCAAATTGATTTTGTAACTATGTAAGGTGTTTTGTTTTTCCTCTCTTCCTTAAAATAATCTATGATTTACATTCTCCAGAGAGCTATTTTATGGCTCATGAATGAATGGTTCATGAATATTTTGAAATTTGTTAATAAAAGGGTTCATATGAAATGTTTATAATAAAACACTCTATTTTAATGCTTTCAGAATATGAAGTCATAGCACAAACTGCAATTGTGGAGAATAATTTAAAAATCTGGGGCATTTAGCATTCATTTAAAAATGGAAAGATTTTTATAGATTCTTTCTAGGTGTGTCAAAGAAAAAAGAAATTAGTAGATCACATGGATGATGGAAATGTTTGCTTATTTTCATTTCTATCTTTTGTTTTAAAGCCAAGTAGATAGAAATGCACTCTGTCTTGGGTATCCAAAGTGGAACAACTTCAGGTCTTTTGTAACAATAGACCTACAGAAAAGAAAATAGACAAAGGTGAAAAGAGCCACTTAAAAGGGAAAAAAGTGAGTTTTCTTTGGGAGTATATTAATCTGTTTGAGGCAGTAGTTTTAAAATTCCATTTATCAAGTGTTCATTGAGTACCCCCTATTTGACATTGTGTTAGTCCATATAGCTATCAGGTAGAGTGTAGCTTGGTCTTTGGCCAGGAATAAGTGGCAAAGGTAAAAAATTGTAAGTAGATTCATAGTTACTGAAAAGATTATGATCTAGCAATATAAATGTGCCTAAAATTACTTGGTAGCAGCATTGTCTGTGGCTATATGCTTCATTTCATAGTTGAGCAGCGAGGACAGTGCTTCTTGACTGTGATGTAGCATCAGGGGATATATGAGTGTGTGTGTGTGTGTGTGTGTGTGTGTTTGGAACATATGTATGTTTAAAGTTTTCTAGTTCTTCATGGACTAGTAGTTGTATAAAATACAATAGAAATGAATTACAGAAAAATGAAATAAAGACGTTTTATTTAGATTGAATCCATATAAAATTGCTCTATATGATCTCTGTAAGTGTTTATAAACTGTTTCTGTACTTACTTCATCTTGGATTAGTACACATATTTCATGGTTGGTAATTCATGGACTTGCATTGGTCTGTGGCCATACTTGGTATGGTATTGATTTCCTATATGATATATGGTCCCTGTAGGTTTTTAAGTAAAGAATGGTGTGGTTGTGCTTAACACAGTTAGGTTTTTGGCACAACTAGTGCTAATTAAGTTTCAGCCAAAGATTGGAAACCAAGAAATAGTGGAATCATCAGCACTTGAAGGGTAGCTATAAATAGAGGAGAAAGTGAAGGTAAGTATCTTTATATTGATAATTCATGTAGGGAGTAATTTCCCCACTAACCTATAAACTTCTTGAAGGCAAGGACTATCCTTTTTTGGTCACTAGCAGAAGATAGGCACTTAAAATATTTGGTGAATGAATGAGTGAATGAATGGATGCATGCATCAGAGAGGTAAAGGCATAAGAAGAGTTTCAAGCTGAAGAATATGATAAACAATCAATAATTTAGTAATTATTTGTTAGATTTAGTAATTTGAAATTCCTTAGGGAGAACAGGTTTAACTGAAAAAGTAGCCAGATTACAATGTGTTGCCCATCTTTATTAGCTGGTAAGGGAATGAATAGAGATTTTTTAAAGATAGGGTCTTTATATGTATTCCAGGCTAGTTTTGAACTCACTAGGCTGACCTTGAACCCATGATAATCCTGCCTCAGCCTCCCAAGTGCTGGGATTACAGGTGCGCACCACCACGTTCTAGTAGAGATTCTTTAAAATATAACATTTTGGGGGGCCAGGGATTTAGCTCAGTGGTTTTGTCGCCTGCCTCACAAGTGCAAGGTCCCGAGTTCGATCCCTGGTA